GTGTTTGTTTTAAAGGTTATTACTATAAAAGGAAATTTTTTGCCAAAAATCGATTTACGGGAAAGAGTTTTTTTTTTAAAAAAAAAAAAAAAAATTATTTAAAATCAATTCAAGATTATTTTATGAAAAATCCATGTAATAAATATAATATCTTATAAACAGTTCTATTTAATTTAATAGTTTTAATAAATCCTTTATAACAATTATATTCATATTAAATATATTAGTTTGCCAATAAAAATGAACATATACAGTATAGATAGTATATTGATTAAATTAAAAAGAGTCTAGTTTATTTTATTATTTTAAATATAATCTTGTAATTTATAATAATTCTTTATACTTTAATAAAATAAATAGACGGAAAATATTTAAAATTATATATTAAAAATGTATGATTTTTTTTATTTTTTCTCATATGTAATTATTATTTGCAACTTACAAATCAACTATTATTAACTATTATTAATTTATTAAAACTTATTTTTTGATCTTGAAAATATTTTATTAATCATTTGTTATATAAAAAAAAGGGGGGGTTTTTTAAAAAAATAAAATTAACAATTGTACTGTTTTCCATTACATAAATTTAAATATTTTATTATAAAGGCAACAATGAGATCATTATTTAAAATGATTTTGATACTTGTAAATAATGGATAAGCCAAATGTTTCTTTGATTTCTGGCATTATTATTAAGTCACAAGCAATGTTAGTTGGTACTCTATTAATATAATAAAATATCAAAAATATCTTTATGATTTGTTGAAAAGAATATAAATGACTTGTGAAGTAGCTAAAGTAAAATTATTACATAATCTATTTATATCAAGAATATATTGATTGTTGTTAATTATATAAAGGTTTAAGTGATAAATTGGTTGTTAATTTTGGCAAATCCTACAGTGCATTATAATCATAGTTGGGCAAATTAAGATCTGATGAAATATAGAAAAATTGATTTTTTTTCTAACTTTAGAATCATGGATTTCAATAGTGTGGGCAATTATATAAAGTCTGTGTAACAGAAGATATATTCTTGGGATTAATAACAGTGAGATAACTAATTTTCCGGTCATTCAAGGTCATTACTGAGCCACAAAACTGGTAGTTGACTTACTGTAGTTAAAGGCTACACGCTAATTCCACTGGGGCAAATGATTTTTATTCTGTTACTACGGTACTGAACTTGATTTGAAATTGAAACAAGTTAAATGTAAAGAAAAATTGCAAACCAGTTGATGATACATTAACCTATCTTAGTATGCATGATAACCTTCAAGTGCTTACTGATTCGTGTTAAAAAAAAGATTCGAGCGATTAAATAGTGGACAAAAATAAATAAATAAAATCAAAGAATTGGTGAAGAATAAATAAACAAATACCTAAATTTTCGGGAACTGTAAATTCCTTGGATGTATCTACGAGTTCTATGGGTGTTCATCATGATTATGTTTAAGATACAGTGATCATGTTTTGCTTCTTGAAATATTAGAGATCTTACCTGTTGTAATTAAACATGTAATTACACTTTTTATTTTATCAGGATCAGCCGCAAGGGATTGCTCACCAACAGTGTTCTTGTTCGCAACCTTGACATTAGATTGACTATGGAGTTCTTCAAAGGGGGGAGTTTTTAATCGATCCAGTAATTTTTTTATATTTGGACGTTCTGTAGGATTCGAATGCCAACATTCTCTTATCATTTCTTCATAGCACTTCGGTGTGTTCTTATCGATCTCGGGTCGGAGGCCTCCAATGATATCGGCTTGAAGGTGTTTATCATACTCTTTTCTGGTATTAAATGGAATTTCCCCGGAAGAAATTTCCCATAGAATAATTCCGAGAGCGTAAATGTCCGAGGCTTGTGAATAACGTTTTTCGTAAAAGACCTCGGGTGCGATATAAGGAACTATGCCGCGTATATTTGATAATGGTTCAGCGTCCTGACGAAGTGGACGCGAAAGACCCAAGTCTGTAATGTATGCTTTATGCTGCTTAAAATAGTTATCATATTTAATTATAATGTTGCCACTGTGAAGGTCACAGTGGATTCTTTCGAGACCATGAATGTAATCCAGACCCTCGCATATAGATTTAACAAATTTGATGACCGTTTTCCAATTAAGTTTAGAATAAAATTTTTTGAGAAAAGAACGAAGTGAGCCGTGAGCTGCGTAATCCATCATCAACATATATTGACCGTCTTCGGGGTCTTTGGAAATTCCGATTATACGAATGATTCCGATATCATGGCTTCTTTTTTGGCAACATTGATAAAATGTTCTAACCTTAAAAAAAAGAACACGAAATTTGATCATTCATTCTAATTGTACCGTAAGATATGGAACATGTATAAAAGGTCTTATTTACTTCCTGAAAGAAATCAGAAGACACTTCAGGTGCTTTTTTAATTTTTTTCAGGGCAACATCAGATAGCTGTGGTTTACATCCTCTCCATTGGACCTCGCTAACAAGATAAATGGCGATGTGATTAAGAACGCGCATAAAAATCAAATGAATAATGAATCTATTTTACCATTTTGCATGATAGATGATTCCGAAGCCTCCCCTAGCGATCTCTTTAAATTCTTCAAGACATTCATAAGGGAACCACTTTAGGTAGTTGTCATATCTTGTGGCATTTTTTTGTGATTCGCGAATAAGTTCGTCAATTTTTTCATCCCCGCTTGACCATTTGTCGAAGTTTGCTACTAATTCATTCGGAGTGCATTCTTTACAAAAAGATCCAACATCCCTTTTAATTTTACATTTCGGGCAAGCGAATATCTCGCTAGCGTGAACCGTTTCTGATATTATTTCGGATTTTGATGCCATTGCGATGAAGTTCCGTTCATCAATAATGTATAACAGAAAGAACACTTCAACGCTGTACCAACAGATTTAACATCCAAAACAATAATGCAGTGATAATACAGTACAGTAAAGTACAGTAATTCTTTCTACCTGAGTTGAAGCTGGGATGCTCATTGCTGTACTGTATGTGATACGTTTGAGTAACTTTATGATCAACCGAATTGACTTAATTTAGAAATGCATGATCAATCACTGATTCGTAAAATCACAAAGTTAACGTCACAAAGTGCAAAGCAAGGAAAGAAAATGTTCTGATTAAATACATAAAAATTCGTATGATAAGCATTTACATATACTGTATTTAAAATAATGTGCGATTGTTATTCGATAAACTTTAATTTTTGTTGCGTAAATATGTATTTAGGCTCACGTTTGCTACAACTGGTCGCATTCCGCTAACCACCATCTGACACCCACTTCCTTCTTTGTATAATCCAAGTTCATGCTTAATGCATCAAATAGCGCCTTTTTCAATGCAAATTTTCCAACACCATCAGGTTCCGCTTGCAAGAATTCTTTGATCTTTGTTAATAATGTTTCTAGAAATAGGAGGTTGACATTTTGAATTTGATCAATGAGCGTCAGAAGCAAGTGTCCCCTGCGAAGGTATAAAGCGACATCGACGTCAACCACACTTTGGTACTCATTTTTAGAATCGTCGTTGGATGAATCATCCGATAGAATACTTTCGACTCCACTCTTTGAACTATTTTTATCACTTGTCGAATTAACCGGTTTACCATCCGAAGGTTCTGATGGGGATATCAACTCATCTTCATGAACCCTTTCAGATATGCCTAACTCGGTAGAGATGGAATCATTCTGTGTGACCTCTATCTTTTTAATCAACTTGTCCAAGCACAACCAAACCAATGCATCATCAATTTCTGATAGAGATTTGATTACCGCGGCATAAGCAGCTCGAAATTGCACTATTGTAAAAAGCATCGAATACCCCTAGAACGAGATGTTATTCATTAGGAGTTGCCCAGTTTTCATAGTAATAATAATCGTTATATTCAATATTACCTCAAGTAACATTGTGCAATAATAAGGTGCCAATTCCTTTGATACGCGTTTGAAGTTGGAAAATACGGAAAGAATTACCGAATGTGCGGATTCAAACAATTGAGAATCAGACTTATCATTGATATATCTGAAAATGATGTGTAAAGTGTAAAGAAAAAAAAATAACAAGGGATAGGAACTATCATTTCCATTATAATGCAGACAGATGTGCAAACTTACGGATATATGAAAGGTAAGACATAATTCTCTAGTGTATCATCATCCAAAGCCGCCATCAACTGTTCGACGACAAGTAAATAATAGGTGATCTGACTTCTTTTTGTCGGAGTAATACCATCCGGAGGTTGACATGAATTGACCAATATCTTGGATTCCGATTCTTCATCCAATGATCTATCCAAAACCGAAAAAAATACCTTTTTGTACGTAGGAAATCCATACAGCGAAAACTTTGAGTTTATGAAGTAGAGATAAGAATACGACAGGATGATCAACTTTCTTTCTAGATGCAGAAAAAGAACCAAAGATATCAATCATCAGTTACCAGTAGATTAGGAAAAAACCCGATGCCACAAAGATATACCTTCTTGACCGCATATCTCGGGCTGATATAAAGATTGATCCACAATATATTTAAAAATGACCGTCACAAAGAATACGATAGGCTTCAAGATGGTCCACAGTAAAGGAGTTGCCAACTTCGTTTCTTCGTCTACAAAGATCGCAAATGTTGCTTGAGTGTACGGTAAATGATGAAATGTAATATCTACATGTCCAACGCATACCTAAGGATTCTTCATTTTCGATCAGACTCAACGGACATTCTTCCCATGCAGCAAATAATTTTGCGGAAAAAGAATAAATCCTATAAACGTGCTAAGGTTATTAATTTGATATACATCTACTAGATAAATAATGACACGTACGTGATACTTGCAGTGTGAAAAGGTTCAGAATAGTATTTTTATCTGAAACCAAAGCCAAACTACTGATCCCTCGAGAGATCCTTGGCAATCCTCTGAAAAGCAGATTGTTTTTTTTTTCTTGCAATGTTTTATAGGACGGAGAATCCACCTAATTAATTATTGGTGGCAAAAGAGATGACAATAAGTGGGGTGTGAAAATGGATGTTCAGAAGCCTTCAAGAAAAAAAATACCTTCCACCTTCGATCAGGGTCATTATGAACATCTCTCGTGATATGATTTACGAATTCCCCATCATGAAAGATTCGTGGACTTTTTAATATGACGAGTGCACAAATATTCACGATCGTTCCCTATTTGTGATTAATGATAGAAACAACATTGCTATTAAAAATCCAAAGCATATTTTTTTTCTCCGAAAAAAACCTCTTCAGCACCTTTGCATTGCATCCTTCGAGTCGTTTAAGTGGTATTGACGGAATGCAATAACCACATATGTATGCAACGGTTTCCTTTTTTGCATCTAAGAATCCTAAGCTAAGTCAGGTGTCGCAAGCTGAATAAGAATCAAAATGAAATAGGGTACGGCACCTTCCTCCTCCTGCGCGATATTTTCATTCCATCCTGTAGGAATTGCGATCGAATCAAGACTCTGAAAAAAAGCACCTTCAACCTCGACAATAAGTTTGCCCATCAGAAGTCTCTTCCCTTGTCGAGACTCTGCCATCTGATAACCATTCCTAATTAAAAACGCAATGAATTTCTGCTCCAAGACATATTCTACATGAAAATCCATGAAAATGATTTCGTCGCGCTTACAACAATCCACTTAACCCAACAAACCCAACAAAACCCTGCATCGAGAACACTCGTAAAAATGCTCGGATCCATTCGATTCTTTCCCTCGTTCCCGTTTCATCCGACGATAATTTCAGATATGTAATCTGCTGAAACATGTAGAACAAGGAAAATCCCAAGTTCAACGTGTATTTTTGACCGACATTATTTTGCAAAGAGAGAAAATGATTCAGAAGGGTTTGAAGGTATTCCAGATTAGGAGAAGGGGTTAGCAAAAGTTTTGCGATTTCCGCATTGGGACCTATGTATTGATTCATCGTGGAGCTTGGTGAACCCGTAGACATATTGTTCGTGGAAAAACATAACGTGCGCACGGTCAGTATTATTATCTATCGAATGGAGTTACACGAACTTCTAATTCGATGAATCGGTCATGATATTACGTAACTGTACGTACACATGTACATACAGTACATACATACATACAGTATTGTACGTTAACCTTAACGCATACACATTCTTGTCCGCTAAATTCAAATTGTCTTGTAAAATTTACTTTTTCAAATAAATTGAACTCTCCTTTATAACATCCATCTATAGAATCTCCGAATTGTAAAATCCAAAGTGTATTTCACGGAACCGTACAGATGATTCATTTGGCATGATGATTGACATCGTTTGCTGCATCACCAAATGGTTTTCATTGTCTTTCGAAAAATTGAAATTAAAAAAGTACGATGACCGATTTTGGTAATGGATCCTTGGACTCGGGATTATCGTAATGCAGAAAAATTAATAGTTGCCAATCACATTAGAAATTCTCGATCGTGTGTAATAATTGTAATTTTTATGATACATATATAGAAATCGAAAAATATTATCTTACACATAATTTAACGTGTACCACTTCTAAAACAAAAAACAAGGATTATTTTTTGCATAAATAGTCTACGGAATTCGAACATGTTTCCTTTTGCACACACACACACCTCTTTCGACTCAAGCCAACCACCACACCCACCCTCGTATTATCGTCCCGGCTAGTTTATTTCATTTAGAAATATCACTAACGGGCTCTTCCCCTCCTTTCTCTTGACTTTATTCATCAAAATGCGTTCGCTCATATCAGCCATCCTCTTCCTATTCACCATAGCCCCCTTTGTCCTAGCCGACTATTCCATAACAAATCCGGGTACCGGCGTGACATGGAAAAAAGGGGATACCGTAACAGTGGAATGGATCATAACTTCCAAGACTGATAACACGGTTGACGTGAAATTGTTACGCGGACGGGCAGAGAATCTACAACCTGTCATTACTCTGTGCACCGGAGTCGACCCAACCGTAGGCCATTGCAATTTTGCTGTCCCCGATAATTTGGCATCGGATCACAACTATGCTGTTACCGTTGGAAATGACGTCAGTCATACTGGATATTCGAGTTTCTGTATGTTTGTTAACCGATCTGTTTAAAGGATTTGTACAGCAATTTCCCTTTATATTAACTTTTGATTGTCATTAATTCTTCAAAAGTCAGCATCGAATCCTCCGGCGATCTTCCACCACAGTCGGGCTGTCCCAACTTTGTGAGTAATATTTTTCAAATACTAACACACGCATATACAGTATATTTCCTCTAGTAAAATTGACATTTCAAATTTAGGGGGGCCAAAACTGTCCGAGCACATTACCCTGCTGTAGTTTTGCCGGATACTGTGGTGATAGTGATGATCACTGTGGTAGAGGTTGTATGCCTCAATTCAGTTTCAATGGATTATGCGTGAAATCCGGTGGCGCACCACCTGTTCCTCCAAAGAATAACACGATCGTGCCTCCGCCAAAGAGTACCACAATCAAACATTCACCAACCAAAACTTCAAGCAAGAAGCCTTTACCAAAGAAAACGCAAACCAAAAAATCTCCAAAAAAGAAAACCTCGACCAAGAAATCTCCACCAAAGAAAACCTCGACCAAGCATTCAACGAAAACTAAGCATCCACAAAAGAAAACCTCGATCGCCAAGAAACCCGTAAATAAGGCATTTTGTCGCCTAAGATAGGTGGTGATTCCAACGATCTTCAACCCAAATATGTTTTAGTCAAAAGGATATGATGGTTTTGTTTTTTCGCGTTCCAGGTTTAGCTCACTTTTTTAAGGCAGGATCCTTATCTGTTAATAAATAAATAAATCGGATCGCTATCTTTGTGTTCGCAAAGTGAAGTCAAAGAAAATTATACAACAGTAAACATATAATGTGAATGTAAATATGTTCAATCGAAAGTCCATAAAAATCTTGGATTTTTCAATACAAGTGATTGATTTAAAAAAATTTGGTTTATGCAATACTGCATCAAAAAACCCCCCGGATACAGTAATTCTGATAAAAACGTGATTGCAGTATAAGGAATACAGTACCACAAATTTATATTAAAAATTATTAATTCAATATTAATTCAAATAATGTACAGTACATATTAAATACTAAATTATATTATACGATACATGTACTAAATATTATACTAACTAATTAAAGAATTAATTTTGATTTAAAATTAATTAAATTCATTTACCGTAATTAACAAAATCTACTTAATTTAAATTGCGTTAATAACACCAGTTAAAAACAAGACTATTTTTTGATACTGCATACAGTAATGTTACTGTACATATCAACTAAAATGATTAACATACAATAAATGAAATAAAGAAATGCATGTTTGAAAATTCATATTAAAAATAGAAAAAATTATAAATAATTAAAAGTTTGTTAAAATATTCCTAGAATTCATATTTAAAACAAAAATAAATTATGGATTTTATAAATTATCGGGATATTTTTTATAACAAAAAATGATAACAAATCAAATCACTATATATTGCATGTACGATAGATGCAATATACTGTATATTTTTATAAGTTATAAATAAAATTTACTGTATATCATACTGTATCTATTATTTTAACAAAAAATATTTTATTTATTTCACCTGATTTTTTTTTAATGCTTAAATTAAATAATTGCAAAATTTATTATTTTATAAAAAAAAATTTTCATTTATTTATTAATAAATGTTTTTTATAATTAATTTCATATATTTAAACACATACTGTTCCTTATGTTTGTTTCAAATAACAACAATTAATTTTTTTTTTTTTTTACTGTAAAATAATTCAGCAGATGACATCAATAAAGATAAAATGTCTCTATGTTAATACTATACAATAGAAGATATACTGTAATACTTGTCGATGCTTTACATGATTTGTTATTGAATACAAAAAATGAATCGTCTTCATTTTCAATTTTAAAAGATTTAAAAATATATTTTTTATCAAAATGCCCCATACAGCATATGTTTTTTAACTAAACTGAACATACATTAATTTCTATATAATTACTGTAATTGTTCATAATGCACTTGATTCTTATTCATGTTGGAACACCTAATAGATGATATTTGCTTCGAAACACAAACACAAAGAATTTGATACAGAGATTTAGATGCTTTTCTAAACACTTTTTGTGAAATCTGTTTTATATCAATATTCTAAATAATGTTAACGACCACATTATAAGGTTTTACATTTTCACTTCTCGGCTGGTTGGGGAATATAAAATCAACAGGATTTTTCCTAAAACTGTTGCTTCATATTCCAGTAATATTAAAAATCTTTCCAA